ACAAAGTGATATTTTAATGCCACAAAGGAAACAAAAATGTGCTGTATTAGGTTACTGATAGTATTCAGTAATAATTTTATTCTAAATGTTTCAGACATTGCAGTAGCTGGCATTTAATTTGGTGTATGACTGGTGCACTGTACTTCAGTTTTTTATTTTCAAACATGTTCTAACATGCCTGGAAAATGTTTCTGTTATCATAAATGGTTAACATAGATTCAAGTATAATGTCTAAAAAAAAAACAAAGATTATACTTTTCAATGCCCCCATACTCACCGTGACCTAAAGTAATACCTTGTGTTGAGATTTATTGGTGAATCAACAGCTAGTTTTCAAAGACATTTAATCAATGAATAGACTGCCCATCTTGCATACCTGATTAATCAATTTTTACACCTGGAAGTTTGTTATCTAGGGCAGTGTTTCTCAACTAGGGCTGCAACTAACGATTATTTTCATCATCGAATAGTTAGAGGCGATTATTGTTTCGATTAAGCAGATAAAACCCTCAAAAAAAAGTGCGGGTGTATAATTTAGTCAATGTAAAGTTTAAAAAAGAGAACTTGACAATTATCTAGATGCAGTGGTAAATATAAATAACTAGCTATATGTTTAGGGAACAAAATATCTAATGCCACTCTGAGAAAAATAACAGACAGAGGAATTGTATATGCTATTAGAAGTCTGGATCTTGTAAATCGCGGATCGAGAATGCTCGGCCTTCCATGTCCCTTCGTACAAAAGCTGGTCATTAAACTGACTTCTGTCAGAAGGACAGCTGTACACATGGTCTGAATGTCGGCCATTTCCTGGTTTAACCAACTATATATCGGAATGGTTGTATTCCAGCTTTATGCTGGCCCATACAGGGTGCGAGTAAATTGGAGACAAGTTTAATTCGTAGCAAACTTGTTTTACCATACGTGTGCTTTAAGAAAGATTCATATTTTCCTAAAACCATACGATTCTCAATCGTAGATCATTGCGAGTCAAAGTTGATGTCCATAAAATTTCTTAGTCTACCCACAGTGATGGAAAAATTTGAGGGTGTAGAATAGAAAAACTTTTTCGTTGATCAAGCAGATTTTTGGACTGTGGTTCCAAAATCAACATTCATTTTTAAAACTTGAATGTTTAAAAGTAAGTGAAATTTTCAAGTGACATTCGCTTGATTCACTGAATGTACGAAGAATTTTCATATGAATATTGGTATTAAAATTCTCGACTGAAAATCGATATGTTTATAGCCACCATAAGACATTTAGTAGCAGCAGTCTAGCATGTTTTGTTTTTTTTTTTTTACCACCTTTCATGGTATGTGATTAAAAAAATAAAAATGAGCCCTTTATAGTAAAAAAAAAAAATATAAGTATATATACTGTATATATAATATCATATATTAACTAGGAGTCAGACATGAAGCTATATGAAGGGTGGAAGGGGATGTGAATCTTTATATTGAAGCAATACTAAAGGCTGAGACTTTTTGCATGGATATAATCATTTTAAAATATAATGCACAATACTGGTGAAAACTTTCACTTTTAATGTAATTGTAATGCCTTATATTACTCCCTGTATATCTGCCTCCAGCTTCTCTGGGTTCAGAAGCTGAGCTCTCCCTGCACAAACAGAAACCCTTAATGTGAGACTCGAAAGGTTTCTTTTTTTTTTTTTTAAACAACAAACATGTCATACATACCTGCTCTGTGTAATGGTTTTGCACAAAGCAACCTCCGATTATCCTATGCTGAGGGTCCCCCCACCATCTTCTCATGGCTCCTCCTTCCTTCAAAGTACCCCTATAGCAAGCCGCAAAGTATAGTATACGAGTGCCGCTATAGGAAGGTAAAAAAAAAAAACCATCTGCCTTTACAATCACTCACTTCCTTCTGCTGCCCAGGACTACCTGTCCCATGAGGCATTTGCTCCTCACACATTCATAAAGTTCTCAGGCACTTACTGACGTACGTCTGTTGGACGGTGTACTCGAGTATACTGTATGTGTGGCTGCACTGTATTTCCTAATATATGTAAACAAAATAATGCATTTGTATGCAGCGCGACTAATCGGCTGACCAACTAAATCGATTAATGAAAATAGTGTAACTATTTTTAGTTTATAAGATAATCGATTATATGTCAATTAGTTTGTTCAGCCCTATTCTCAACGCTTTTTTTACTCGATACACCCTTTAAAATTCTGCACAAGTTTAAGGCACAAACCATCATGCAAAACATAAAAAACTAAAAAAAATAAAAAGAGTTTTTACAGAACATAAGCAATCATCTGCACATGTAGGTGACACCCAACGTTGGAGAAGATTTATTCTTCCAAGCAAATACACTTTTTTGCACACACAGGTACTGACTAGTATTCCACTGTTTCTTTTCTCTCTTTCACTCATATAGTTGTGTAATCCCCAGTGCTTATGGAGAATTTTCAACTGATGAAATCATTGGTTTATGTCTCCAGCGGGTAGAAAGTTGTAATGCACAATGAATACCCTAGGTTTTTGTGTAGCTAAAAGGTAGGCTTGATCCACTTGTGGTCTTATATACAATTTGGGGCATTTTTTTGCCATTTTTGTCAAGGCACCCCCAGAGTTGCCTGCGTACCATGGTTTCGAAAACAAAAGACCGCTCTAAGGCAGTGGCTGCCAACTTTTGAGACCAGGGCCCAGGAAGGTCTTTGAAAACCTTCTAAGCTTTGTAGCTTCTCTGTAAACTCTAGAGATGCTTCTTTTGCGTGAAAATCCCAGTAGAATCAGCAGCTTTTTTGTAAATACTCAGACCAGCCTGTCTGGCACCAACAAACCATGCCACTTTTAAAGTAACGTGAATTCCTTTTTTCCTCGTTCTGAATGCTTGTTTTGAACTTCAGCAAGTCGTCTTTCACCAATGTAGATGGCTAAATGCAATGAGTTGCTGCCATGAATATTGACTGATTAGCAATTTTGTGTTTACCATAAGAAATTGAACACAGGTGCACATATATAATGTTTCTATAATCTGATAAGACCAAAAATGTACTTTTCAGCCATTTCAAACACACGCATTTCAAACAAACGCCTAAAAATGTAGTGTCTGTGAAGCATGGGCAATGATAGCGCCATGCTTCAGGAATGCTTCTGTGCAGCAAGCCCTTGAAGGCTTGTTAGGACATAGGTTAGAATGATTGGAGAAAAATAGGGGAAAATACTGGAAGAAAAAAGCTGATGCACTCTGCGAGAAAACTGAGACAGCCTTGGCAGAAGATTTGTCTTCAAGCAAGACAAAGATCCCACTACATAAAATATACACAAGAAAACAATGTTAATGCCATGGAGTTGCCAGTCAGAGTGCAGATTCATCACTGGATTGTAAAAGGCTGTTCACCCACTCAGGGAAATGTATGCAACTTGACAGAGTTTAGTCAGCAGTTTTGCAAAGCGGGATGAGTAAAAATTGCAGTGCCCAAATGTGCAAAGCTGCTAGAGAGCTTTCTGTATGCATTGACCCCCCCCCCCCCACCCCCCCCACCCCCCCCCCTTGACTGTAATTGCTGCCAAAGGTCCCATCTATTAAATACTAACTTGAAGAGAACTTATACATGTACGGTCAGTTATTTTTGTTTTTTTCATTGTTATTCATTTAAATTTCTTTGCAGATATCTGGTTTCAGTTTGGTACTAAAGGTTATACAGTCTCTATATTTGTTGATCAATGTAAAATTAGAAAATATATATTCCACCGAAATCCATTACATTTCCAAGGGGATGAATGCCTTTTTTATAGGCACTTTGTAAAATGTAAATTTAGACTGAGAAGAGTTTCCGGCTTTAATCACATCATGGTGAAGGTACAATGAATTCTAACACCTGAATACAAGTTTGCAACGTTGACAGTGTTTGTAAAACTGTACATATCGCGGTGCACGGCTACTTTGTGTATCGAAGTGAACTACCAATATTTTATCGCTCCATAAGACGTACCTTGACCATAAGATGCACCTAGGTTTTAGAGGAGAAAAACAAGAAAAAAAATATTCTGAACCAAGATTTACAGACATAGTACTCGGGTGGAGATGACCAGAGACTGCAGACATAGTTGTCAGGCTCCGCCCAACGGGATCTCTAGTGGTCCACAGCACGGGGTTTCCCAGGACGCAGAGTCTAAGTCCCAGTCTGCCTTTTCACCAGGGCCCCTGATGGTGGGGATGGACTTGGTGCAAGACTGAACCAGGTCGCGCCCCTGGGCACCCCCGGCGGTGGTAGAAGGGGTCCCGCTGAGGGTATGTGCCCGGGATGAGCCTGCTGCGAAGGGGACGACAGGTCCGAGCTGATGGATGGGAGGCAGGTTCTGATCCGAGCGGGATGGACGGATGACAGATCCCAGGTCCGAGCGGGATGGATGGGTGACAGCTAGAGTGAGCGAGGTCAGACTAGCCGGGTCGGTATCGTGCGGGCAGCGTGGTACAGGATTGGATGGGATGGCATGTTCTGATCCCGAGCGGGATGGACGGATAACAGATCCCGGTCCGAGCGGATTGAGATGGGTGACAGCTAGGAGTGAGCGAGGTCAGACTAGCCGGGTCGGTATCGTGCGGGCAGCGTGGTACAGGGGGAGTAAGCGGAGAATGGTCGGGTCACAAGCCAGGATCAGCAGGGTAGCGGGGCAGCGCGGTACACGGAGAGGTCAGGCAGGAGGATGGTCAGGGACGAGCCGGGATCAGAGCAGGAGAGGGTCAGCATAAGTCAGAACAAGGCAGAGTTTGGCAACCAAGGAAGCGTACTTACAGGACAGGAACAAAGACCTTGCGGCAACCTGGAGATGCACAAGTGGCAGCTTTAAATAGAGCGCCCTGTTCTCCCATTGGTGCGGCCTGGCGATTGCTACTGCGCGATGTCGCGTGCGCCGCGCCGCCATGCGATCGGCCGGCCGGGACGGAATCGGCCGTCTGCGCATGATCGCGCACCTGCCGAGGACCCGGGATCCCTGACAGTAGTACAGGAGATGACCAGAAGACTGCAGACATAGTACAGGAGAAGACCAGTGACTGTGGACAAAGTACCGGAGATGACCATAGACTGCGGACACAGTACAGGAATGACCAGAGATTGCGGACATAGTACAGGAGTTGACCAGAGAGTGCTGGGACATAGTACAGGAAATGCCCAGAGACTTGCAAACATAGTACAGGAGATGAACCAGAGACTGCGGACATAGTACAGGAGATGATCAGAGACTACAGACATGATACAGGAGATGACAGAGACTGTGGACATAGTACAGGAGATGACCAGAGACTGCGGACATAGTACAGGAGATGACCAGAGACTGCGGACATAGTATAGCAGATGATCAAGAGACGTTGGACATAGTAACAGGAGATGATCAGAGACGACAGACATGATACAGGAGATGACCAGTGACTGCGACATAGTACAGGAGATGACCAGAGAGTGCGGACACAGTACAGGAGATAGTGTATAAAAAAGGTGCAGCGCTAATATACAAGTAGATGAAGATACATATTACATATGCAAACTCATATAAAAGTTCAAAGTGACATAGAGTGCATACAGGTATAAAACACTACTTTGTGTCTGGTAGAACGTCTGAGGGAATGGGATATATTATATCCAAACGAAAGTTCAATGTGAGGATGTGAATATATTTTCAAACACTCTGATGCTTTTCCAGGCCACAACGCGACTGTGTAATACTGTGAAAAAATGAAAGGGGGGGTTACAAATTGCGCACGTGTCACCAAATGCGCAAATCTTTTTAATGCGCTTATCTCTAACATATAAGACCTCCAATCCCTCATACCAGGGTCTTGGTCAGATCCTGTTCGGGCCCCTTCTCAGTCCAAACCCCTTGCAATTTGGCCATCACCTTTGATGATCAACCACTCTCCAAAGACACCTGGCTCCCACAGGAGCTCAGAAAAAAGCCACAGGAGGCAATAGTGCAGTAATGTCCTTAAGAGGTACATTAATTCCACGCACAAACAGCAGATTCAAGTAAGAAAAAGCAAAATCAGATACTGACCCTATATGAAGTGGAACCGCCAGGTCCCCTCGTGGAGGCCGGCGTGTAATGCGTCAAACAGCTGAATCCTGACCCAGACGCTTTTCGAGCGATAGCTCTTATCAAAGGGTTTTTTTGGCATTTTGCTGCGACGCCCCTCTGGGCAAATTTTAAAAAAAGGGGAAAAATGCAAAGCAATAGTTAAAAATGGGCCATTTTCCCCCCGGAAAAAATGTCCTCAAAAACAGGGGCCCCTTTTTGGGGTAGTCCCCTTAAACCCCCAATTTCCGCCAGCAAGCATCGGAAAAAGGGCGGACCCCTCGTATAAGAAAGCCACTTTTCCCAGAGAGGATGTTTCCCCAAAAACGGGCCCCATTTTGGCGTAAAAACCCTATAAACCGCCCCATGCCGAGCATAGCTTCCCGGGAAAAGGGCGGGCAACGTATACGTCCCCCGAGGGGGGAAAAGTTGGCCCAAGGGGAAAAAACGATACACGAGTGCCCCAAAAAGGTCATTCAAAACCAGTGTAACCCTCAAGCCTTTTTATTTGCATTAACTTTCCCAAAATTAAAAAAAATCAAATCCCAAATTTACAGCAAAGGGGGGCGGAAATTTATTTTCCCCGGTCCTCAAATCAACCCAATTTTTTCAAACCATTTCTAAATAAAAAGGGAACATATCCCCCATTTATCCTCTGTATCCAATATAACAAAAAAAAATTCCAAAAGGGTATTGTTAACATAAATACAACAATAACACATACTGAAAAATTATGGATACATCAAAATTATAAAAACCCCCTCATAAAATCCCATTATTTTAAATTACCCTCAAATCAAAAAAATTTTACAACTGTTTACCAGTAGGGGTTTTCCTCCCCAAAGACAAATTTTAAACAAAATCCCTCCCTATTTTGAAATTCTTAAAAAAAATATCCAAAATACCTTAGAAATTAAAAGCAATCAATTTCTTTAAAAAACAAAATATAATTCCCCTTTAAAAAACTCCAGAACCCTACATATAAAACATATGCGAGAACATCTACAAATTTGGGCAATTAAACCCAAAAAAAAAAACAAAACCTAAAAAATCTTAAAAAACTAAAAAACTAAAATCCATAAACCCCTAAAACTTCGTTTACAAAAAAGAAACCGAAAAAAAAAAAACCCAGGAAACAAAAAAAAAAGAATAAA